TGGCTCAAGTCTGTAATCCCAGCAGTTGGGGAGGCTGGGGCAGGTGGATCACCTGAGGTCAGAAGTTTGAGACCAGCCTGGCCAACATAGTGAAACCCCATCTCTACTAAAAATAGAAAAATTAACAGACATGGTGGAGCGCACCTGTAATCCCAGCTACTGGGGAGGCTGAGGCCAAAGAATCGCTTGAACCTAGGAGATGGAGGTTGCAGTGAACCAAGATCACGCCATTGTACTCCAGCCTGGGCAACAAGAGCGAAACTCCATCTCAAAAAAAAAAAATTAGCTGGGTGTGGTGACATGCACGTGTAGTCCCAGCTACTCAGGAGGCTAACATGGGAGGATTGCTTGAGCCCAGGAGGTAGAGGTTGCTGAGATGAGATCTCGCCACTGCACTCCAACCTGCTGGGAACCAGACCCTGTCAAAAAAAAGAAAAAATTAATCTGAGAGAAGCCAGGCACAACAGACCACAACAGAAATACCCAGAATAGGTAAACCCATAGATATAGAAAGTAGACTAATGGTTGCCAAGGGGAAGGAAAAGGGAGGAATGGGGAGTAACTGCTAATGGGTACGGAGTTTTTTTGGGGATGATGAAAATGTTCTAAAATTAGATAGTGGGGATAGTTGCACAGCTTTATGAATATACAGTAAAACACTGAGTTAAACACTTAAAAAGAGTGACATGGAGGCCAGGCTTGGTGACTCACACCTATAATCCCAGCACTTTGGGAGGCCAAGGAGAGAGGATTTCTTGAGCCCAGGAATTTGAGGCTGCAGTGAGCCATGATTGGGCCACTACACTCCAGCCTGGGCAACAGAGCAAGACCCTGTCTCAAAAAAAAAGAAAGAAAGAAAGAAAAGTGTGACATGGTTTGTGAATTACATCTCAATGTAGCAGTTATTTAAAAAGGGGAGAGTGCTGGGCATGGTGGCCACATCTGTAATTCCATTACTTTGGGAGGGTGAGATGGATGGATTGCTTTAGCCCAGGAGTTCGAGACCAGCCTGGCAACATAGAGTGACCTCTTCTCTTCAAAAAACATTTAAAAATGAGGCAGGAGGATCGCTTGAGCCCTGGAGGTCAGGGCTGCAATGAGCCGGGATTGTGCCACTGCACTCCCACCCACTTGGATGACAGAGCAAGACCCTACCTAAAAAAAAAAAATTCCAGTGTCAATCAGGTCTTCACTTCTCTCAGCTAACCTTTTTTCTGACATCACAGGTGTGTAGCACCACTTGTTACAGTCTCTTTCCCACTCCCTGCTGCCCCTTCTATATTCTTTTTTTCACATTAATTTGTTTCTTTGAGTACTTTTGATCACGGGTCGCTGAATAGAGATGCTCCATGTTCAGTGCCCACCTGCCATTTTATTTTTTTCTCTGGCACATCTTGAGGTAGCTTGAGGACAATACTAAGTTGCCTGTTTTCCTTTCCAGCGGAAGGCAGACAGATTGCTGCCAACATGCGGGGTATTGGGATGATGCCCAATGATATTCCCGAGTGGAAGAAGCATGCCTTTGGGGGCAATAAAGCCTCTTATGGGAAAAAGACTCAGATGTCAATCCTTGAGCAAAGGGAGAGCCTGCCAATCTACAAACTGAAGGAGCAGTTGGTCCAGGTGAGAAGACTTTTATGACGTATTGGTGGGCAGTAGGGTTGTTTTCTAAAAGAGGGATATTTTAAAATTGAAACTAACAGCACAAATATGTGCCTCCTTGAAGTGGCTCATCCAAAAGGGTTAAGAAATAAGGAGAAAACTTTCTAAATACTTTTTTAAAAAATGGGGCCGAGCACGGTAGTGCATGCCTATAATCCCAGCACATTGGAGGCCAAGGCGCAGGAGGATCACTTGAGCCTAGGAGTCTGAAACCAGCCTGGGCAACATAGGGAGACCTGTCTCTACAAAAATAAAAAATTTGGTGGGGCGTGGTGGCTGACGTCTGTAATCCAGCACTTTGGGAGGACAAGGTGGGCAGATCACGAGTTCAGGAGTTCGAGGCCATCCTGGCCAACATGGTGAAACCCCGTC